TATCCATTTTACAAATGGGGAAACTGATACAGAGAGGTGCTGCATCCTGCCCATGGTGAACTAGCATACACAGTCTATCTACGCAACACTCGAACCGAATCCCTACCAACTTGGGAAGCCTGGACCATCAATTCTCATGTCTGTAAAGTAGCTAGTACTCTCTGGGGCAACAGTGTAGCCAAGTGATTAGCGCACCAAACTGGGCCTCTTGTCTCATGCCTAGTAAGTCTACTAAATTGTGTGTGTGTTTTGTTTTTTGTTTGTCCTCCATTTCTAGCTCCAAATTGCTGAGCCCTAAGGAGGACATTAGTTAAGAAATATAAATGACACCTTCCTTGAACTGGTGATAAAGACACTACCATGTTTGCCTTTAATTCCCTTCTCTAGACTCTTTTATCATCATGTCTGTGGGAAGTTTCCACCAAAAGAAGTAGGTAACAATTAGTAAATACTGATACCTGCTTAACGTATTTATTTACATCTTATTATTAATTTTTTGACTTGAGGGTGTCTAATTATGTACACACCTACTCTGTGTAACCATGTGTTACCATCACTGTCACTCCCATCCTCTCCCTTATTCTCTCTGATAGTTACACCTACCTGTTACATCATCTTAAAGTAGACTAAGCTCTTCAAGGTGGTACTGTTTGTTACTATGTGTCTGTACAACACCTGAGACAATGGGGTCTCTTTCCTGACTGAGGTCTGTGGACACTATCATAATACAATATATAAATATAATATATTTGTGGAAAATATAGTGGAAGAGACATATAATGCATTAATTTCTAGGCAGCAGTTAATGAAATACCGGACCTAAACACTGTGACATTCTGATTTACAGAAAAGCTATTTTAAATTATTTTTGCAATTTTCTAAATTTATTGCATATAATTTCCTTCTCTCTTTGGGGCCTGTCCTGTTTAGATTCATGGTACCAAAGTAGTCTTGCTTTAGAGGTGGTGGTATGTAAAAATCAGTACCAATAAAATATTTGACTCTTTAAACAAACAAGCAGAATAGTTTCTGTGCTAAGTTTCTGGCATGAAAAAGTACACGCTAGGTGGTGTAAAAGATGAGTTTTATTGCTACTTCTGTAATGCACTCATCCCAAATAACACATAATCTTGTAGCTCACACATCATCTTATATATAATGTACATAATTCTTACTGGTGAGTGTGTTTTGCTTTATTTTTTTGCTTCATGCAGGATCTGCTCTCGTATTTGTAGGGAAACGGCTACAAGGTTATTAAAATTTGTTGCACTGTTAAAGCTTTAAGTAATAGTTTAATGTAGTAGTTTAAAAAGAAATAAGACATTCAAGGACACTGAAGAGGAAGGCAACAGCGAAATTCTAGTATGCAGCTGCCTGGTTTTGAGACCGAGAAAACCTCTAAAGAAAACATCACACTTGTGCTTTGTATCCAGTTTTCTTTCAGTGCCAGCTCAAGATATGGTCTTAATCCTTAAGGAACTTGATGAATCAGGGCCTGGCTAATGGTCTCAGTTCACAACACAGCTAACTGCATTCTTTTAGACAGTGTTTCTCAACAGAGGCTACAACCAAGAAGTGGGTCACAAGGGAGCATCCAGTGGAGAGTACCTAACTGCAGAAAGAAAAGGGAGCACCCACTTGTTCCTAAGACCTGATGGGAGTCAAGGAGGGTAGAGAAGGTACAATTTTCTCCTTTTTTCTTGTTCCTGCTGCTTCCCCTGGTCCAATACTTCCTGCCCCCCCCCCCCAACTCAATCACATTCAAGTTCTTTCTTCTGTAGCCCATAAGGCTAGTTTGCTATATTGTGTTTTCTTCATTGGTTTGATTCATATTATTTTGCTATCCTATCCCAGTATTATCGAGTCATCTTCTTTTCTGAGTTTTGTTTATGTTGAATTCTAGTATATGCTATTCATAATAGTTATTCATGGTTATTCATAATGGTTGGCTATAATGCAAGTAACCTACAGGCCTGTATCCTGTAGGATTAGCTAGAGCAATTCAGTGTGTTTGTAACCTTTGGCATAGATAAATGACCTACTGGTTATCTCTCTTGACTTTGGGGAACTGAATGGGGGAACCGAACAAAGAACTGAATATGTTTATCATAGGTCTGGAACAGACTGGTAACCGCAGGGTACACCGCAGAACATGGAAGTCTTAAGTAAGGCCAAGGGTAACGGTTTTGGGGATGAGATAATCAATATTAATACGTATAAATATATGTCATAATGTTAACCTATAGAGTAAGTGTACACGAAGATTTATTTAGGTGAGGAAATAAGATTTGGGCATGGTAGGTTGGGCCTGGATTAAGGCAGTGTCTGGACCCTATAAAAGGGCAAACAACCATGCAGGGAGGTTGCTTTTTCCTATCTTCTATCAAGCTATCAGCTCGGCTTCGCAATACAGTCTAGCTACTCAACACTCAAACTGAATCCCTACCAATTTGGAAAGCCTGGACCATCAATTCCTTGGGCATGCCAGAGGCAAGGCTGGTCCTCTGTCTTCTACTACCAGGTCTTTAGGGAAGGGTGTGAGTATGCTAGTTTAAGTAATCTTTTAGAATAGAGATGTTACCATCAGTGGTCATAGAATTGTATTAACTTCTCTGTGACTCTGTGTTTAATAGCATTTATTGTTCTTTCATTTATATTAATAACTATCTTATCAATTTGGTATTGTCCTCAGTGTAAGTGTCCTTGCCACACAACCCGAGAGTTCTCTAACCCTGTAGCTGGAATTGGGACAAGAATCTAAATATCTCCTGATCAGATCAGTGGTGAGCCATAATAAACTAGCACATAAATTCAGGTCAACACTTCCCTCCTCAGCCCCCCAAATATTGCTCAGCAGTAGAGATGAAGTAGAGATTGTAGAGGCAGCGGTATTGGCTCCTTTTAGCCTCTGGGAGCAGCATTGCCCTGAGCTGAGGGCTGCTCAGGAGAGTAGAAAGACACTCCCAGTAACCAGCATGAGCTCAAAACCAGCACCAGCCTTTCACAATTCCCCAAATCAGCTCCTCAATCTGCATCATTCACTGCCTCGCCAGCCTTAAATCCACCACTCTTCACCATTCCTTTCTATCTATTGCCCACAGTGCCAACAATCCTCACCTTCCCTTGTTTCACTGTGCAACCAATCCCACAATACTTTGTGACATAAATGCAATGGGATATGGTGGGTTGCCTTTTTGTGGACCCAAAGGATATACTGTGGAGACCAATATGGGCAACTCTATGCAAATCTTAATCACTGTAGTTTGCAGTCAGATATTATCACTATAAATACTACAGGTAGCTAAATAAGATACAGAAAGAATTCCACACTATTGACAGTCTGTGCTTAGGACAGGCCCAAGAGTGGAAGAGCAAACTGTGCTGCAGTTCATTGAAAATAGTATTGTAACTTAGCGCACAATAAAAAAAAAAATCAAAGTTGGGCAGTATCACAAACTTCATGGCCCACTTTACGACAGTGTCAGAACAGAGTGATTAAGCTTTCAGTCTTTATTGTAGAGCTTGTAAATGTTATGAAAATGTCATCTCAAATCTCTTCCTCATTCTCAATTTGAATTCAGGCATTAATAAATACCATTTCCTGTAGTATAGGTGGTAATATACAGTGGGTTGGGAAAGCTATTTGGGTTCTTCTGGATCCTGCCAAATTGAAAGCAAACAGTGAATCAAATGCTTCCTTTTCCTTTGTAGCTGTACTTTTTTTTAAATATAAACGATTATATCTTTTAACAGCACTGTCTGAACTCAAATACTGTATGCGGAATTTCAGCTGGCTGAATTCAAAGATCCATTATGTAACAACAGTCTACCTAAAAGGCAAAAATCAATGAGCTATGATTATAGAGTTTACATTTATTTGGGTGGCAGACAAAATAAAAGACATGTAACCTCAAACACCTGAAACTAGCAAACTACTGAGTCAAAGCCCTCTCTCGTACATACCAGACAAAACCACCTCTATAGTTTACACGTGCACATGGATACACAAATAATATTTACATATGCACAGCCATTTATCAAAATAAAAAGACCTGATACCATTCGAGTGTTATTTTATAATTTTGACATATCCCTGTTTATAGTTATTTTTTCAATGTTTAATAACTTTAATGTTCACAATTACAAAATATAGTTTAAGCATTTTTTATTTGTCAATTTAAATGTTCAGTTGTGGGAAATTATGGGGAGGGTTTTCAGACAATAAGCCATCACACCACAATTATTTAATTACAATGCTGAGATTAAAAAAAAAACCCCTACAGCTTAAAGCTGTCAGCGTCCCATGTCAAAATACACGAAGCAAATATCCTTTAATCAAACCGGCATAATGCCTCAAGCCGCCTTTCCTTACTTTGCGGATCAGTACATTTGGAGGACCAATGCAAATATTTTTCATCAGCGTGAGTACGACCAGGGAAAATCAGTGTTTACAGATACAAATCTAATCCCTCCAAGCCTCTCTCGCCCAGGAAAATAGCCACACACACTCACGTCCTGTTCACGTGTAACCACGCACGAATGCTCGGCCAACACACTGTGCTGTACACATGCACCGATCCTGCCCTCACGCGGGCACCTGCCGTGAGGGGCGCTCCAGCCGCCCGGGAGTAACCGGCCCACGCGCGCACCTGCCGGCACGGCCCGGCTCTCACGCTTCGCCCACGCGCGCACACACGCAGACCCCACTCCGCCCGGGGCTCCCGCCGCCCCTGCGCTCCTCGTGCGCCGGCTCGGCCGGGCCAGGTCCGTGTCCTCCCAGGAGAGAGCCCGGCGCGGCGGAGCGCCCCCCCCCCACACACACACACTCTGCGGGGGCTGACCCGGGCCCGCCGGCCGTGTGTGCGCGCGGCGCGGCGCGGCCCCAGCCCCCGGGGAGGGACGAGCCGGTGCCGCCGCCGCTGCCGCCGCCGCCGCCAGGCCAGTGCCGCGCTCCAGCCCCGCGCGCGCGCCCGCTCCCGGGACCTGGCGTCTCGCGCCTGCCTGGAGCAGCGGGGGGAGGCCCGGGGAGGGGGAGGGGGTGCAAAAGAAGGAGCCACGGGGCGCGGAAGCCACCCGCCCGCCCCCTTCGCGGCTCAGCCCCAGCACATCCTGCGCACAGGGGGCGGGCTGGCCGGGGCTGCTGCCCTCCTCCTCCTCCTCCTCCGGAACCCTCCCGGCTGCAGCTGATGTAAGGCGATGGGGGGCTTCTGCGGGGAGTGGGGCTTGCTCGGGGGGCTCCGTGCACGGGCAAAGGCGGCGTGGGGGGCGGAGGATGCGGCGCAAGCGGTAGATGCGTCTCCTGGGGAGCAGCCCGGGAGCTCCGGAGCGGCAGCGGGAAGCCAAGGGGACAGGTAGGGGGAAGCCGGCTCCGGCGCTGCCCCGCGCTCCGGGGGGATGCGTGGGGGCGCCCGCCCCCCGCCGCCCCTCTCTCTCTCTCTCTCTCTGTGTGTACCGGTGCGGCGGCCCGTCGCAGCGACGGGAGCGTTCGCCTTGTCCCCGCCTCGCAAGGTGTCCCTCCACCGCTGTGCCTCGGCTCCGAGTGAATGCGTGTGATTGGAGAAAGGGACAGGGGGGCACGACTGTTCATTTCTATTTTGCTCTTCCAGGCTTGTTGCGGTGGAGAAAGCCCTTGCTTCAGTGATCCTGACATGAGTTCTGGTCCTTTCCCACGGGCCATAACCTTGGGGTTCTGGCTGGCCGTGCAAAGTAGGCAGGATTAGTGCATCTTTGCAAGCCCAAACTCGCAGCTCGAACCGATCCTTCCACTTGCTGCACACAAGACCAGATTTTTGTTCTAAATTAAATTCTTCTCCTCCTCATCCTTATTGCCAGCTGAGCCGATCACTGTAGTTTTTTCAGGGGTATCCGGATTGTGTCAATGCAGTGTGGTGTGTGACCAATGTGTGTCTTTTAGCTGAGAGTAACTTTGTTTTGAACAATGGGATCCTACCTCTGAAGGGTTTTTTTTTTATTTTCTTTAATACAGAGAGAGAAGGACTATTATTAAATAGAATACCTGTGTGAATATATGTCTGTATGCATGCATTAGCTCTGTGTGTGTAAAACATGTCAAGTCTAATTTACATAAATGTATCAACATAATATTTTTATAATATAACTTTTAAACCAAGATGTTGACTACGGTTGCCATTTTGCCAGCAATACTGTATGTATTTGATTTTTGAATTATGTACAGTCAGACACCTGTTACTTAATCCTGTTTATCCTTGTCAATTATTGTTATCCAACCTTAGTCATCATTTTATCTCTGAAAATAAAATGCAAATATGGTTCTTCTAAAAATGATGCTATGCTGGTATACAGTAAGAACAGGAGAGACTAATGGATGTCTCAAGTAATATTTTTCCAAAGAGAGTAATTCTGGAAAATACCTGGAAAAAAAATCTTTCTCTCAGAGGTAGGTTTATGCTGCATGCAGAGATGTGTGTGGTGGGGGTAGGTGGGGGGTACAACTTTAAAACAATCAGCAGAGGATATGCTAAATGATTTACAGTGTAGATGACTTTCCTTTGTTTTTGTAAATAATGTGTGCAGTATGTTTGCTTAATAGTATAATGTTGCTTACTACTCTCTGAACTTCCCTTTGAAAGTGTAAAATTATAGGACTTTATGATGAATAATCTGAGTTATTGTCAATTATACAGAAAAATAAAACAGACCCTAATTATACAAAAGAATAGAATGAATGGTGTCATTACGCATAGAAAATCATATTATGTAAAGCTTATTTGAGTAGTGTATTAAGTGTTTTCCCGGGACAAGGAATATTATTTATTTGAAGAGGTTTTCTGTAAATTAACTTCTAAAAGTATAACATTTATTGTATTCACAGTTTTCTTCCAGGTCACAGGTACCTACCTAGGCCCTTATACAGCAGAAGGGTTGCTATTACATAGGACTGCGCATTTTTGTATCATACAGAGGCAGTTTATAAATATTAATTGGAAACAGACTCATTCCTTTCTGTTAGTGATAATTTAATAATGTAATTAAAATAAATTCCAAAATAGTATGTCACAGGTAAGATTAATTGCCATCTACAGTGAGATTTTAGGTATGGCCATCTAATTCTAGGAAGGAACAAAATGATCAGGGAATATAAAATAGTATGCATTTCAGGCATGGAAACTTTTTCACAACTGCTAATTTCACTCTGCCTGCAAATATCAGGTTTGAGTCTTCTTTTGATGACTAAACACCTAGTATTCATCTAAAAGTCAAACCTCTGGTGAAAATATAACTCTTCAAGTAGCTGTCAAAACAGAATTTTAAGGTCTGATTTGATCACTGGGTATGGATTCATATCTGGTGGAGTAACAATGCCTTTTATTTTATAGGTGTACGCCCACACACAAGAGCTTTGTTCTAAAACAGAATTTTTTATGCAGTGAATTTAAAAATAAAACACATAATGTATTCTGTAAGCTATATTTTGCTCTCTCTTTTTGTGAATAGAGAGGAAAGCACCTAAAGGGAAAAGAGATAAAGACAGAAGAAAGGGTAAAGAGAGAAATTCCATATCGGCTTCCCTTACAAATGCAGGAAAGACAAACCTATTTGCTGTGTATCTCATTGTTACATACCATCCAAAATCCAGTCGCTAGCTATACCCTTCTGCTTCCATCTTTTTTAAATAAATGACCAGTTCTTTTGCCCTGATGTACACTGCTGACTTCTGTTGCTGACTTTGGCCATTTGTTCCAGTAATGTCATGCACTTGGAGCTCTACTATGTGTCTGTCAAATCCATTTGCACTGTACTTACTCATAACAAAAATATTAGAACAGTTTCTGGTTTAATGTACCTTAAATATTTGGTACTGCTTTTGTAGGAAGTGATGACTTTATTTTAAAATCAGATTTAAATATCCTCTATTTCAAACTCTTGTCGGTATAATTTCCATTATTCTCATGATTATTCACTTGGTTTCAATATTTCCTTTATGTTAGCTTGACGTTTTTTGTAGTCTTGTAGCTTTATGATTCATTTTCATTTGTGGTTTTACCGTATGAATTATATTCCATTCTTGGTCGTCATTTGCAGAATAACTAATTCTGATAATTTTAGTGTAAATGTTTTGTTGTTGAAACTGAAGTGGATGCTGTGCTAAAGATGAAGCCAACCATTTTACGAATGAGTGTCTGTCTAAGAGAAACAATACCTCATTTGTTTTAGGAAGACTTTGGCTTCCTCCATATTTTTAAGCATCTGTCCTACAGTATTCTGGGAATTGTTGGAAAATGTGGTGGAAATCAAATTTCCTAAGTCATCCAATTACAGGATGCTTCAAACTGGTTGATTGTCAGTAGTAACCATTATCAAAAATTGCACAAAACAACATTTCTGATTGGGCTAATCAATAGTAAAGGCTCAATTCCACCCTCAGATTAAAGGGTGGATTGTACCACTGTGACCACTTGCAGCGAGAGTGAGAGGTTATGGGCTCTGCTGCCAACTGTCTGTTGATGACAGCTGGCTGCATATCTCTTTCTCCACTATTGCAACCACTGGCACTCATAAGATGTCACAATACTTACAAAAGATCAGCTCCTGGACGAAGAGCAGCTGGCTCAAATTCAATCTAGGCAAGATCTGAGTCATGCTGGTTGGCGGGGGGTAGCCCTAAGAAGAGCTAGCCAGTCCTCTGACCCTTTCTTTCTTTTGAAGGTTTCCAGCCGTCATTCAAAGTGGTGGAAAGTCTTGGGTCCTCTTTGACTCATTACTGAACTTGGATGAGCAGGTAGCATCAAAAACCAAAAGTGTCTCCTTCACGTCCAGCTTGCTAGGAAACACTACCCCTTCCTTGTGGATAAGCACAGGTTTCAGCTGGCACAAGATGTGGCTGTCTGTCTTCTTCATGGCTTATGCTGCCGTGAGCACATCAAGCCAGTGCTTCTGTCCCTGCACTGGCTTCCAGTCCTTTATCCACTGCCATTCTAGGTCTTTGATCCTAATCTTAGAACAACTGATGGATCGTGTCCCAGCTATGTCAGAGACCCCATCATCATCGACAAGCCACAGAGACAGCTGTGTTCCTTTGGGACCAATGCCGATTGCAAAGCCCAGAGTGACGCGTGCATGAGAATGGGGATGAAATAATTTCAGTTGAGGGCATCTGTCTATCAGAGAACTTTGAGGAGATGAGAGGAAACCAGAATTTGACTTTCTTTGGGACATGCTGGGAAGCCTTTCTTTCTGATAAATCTTTGACTCCATAACCAGAACAGCATACACAGCATCAACTGCTCCCCTTTCCTCTTACCTCTTCCAAAAAAAGAGACCTTACGCAAAGCACGGTGTTTTTTAATAACCCAAAAAGGGGGAGACACAAGAGATTCCATGACACCCATTGGCAAAAGTGGGTGTAATACTTCCTAATCTATTTTATATGGAAGGTGTAGCGCTGCTAGAGGGGTGAGTGGCAGTACCAAACCCTAAACTAGGATAGTTTGGTGCCATTTCTTTTTTGTGTTTTCTCAAAATGGAGGCCAGGTCTCACTCTTTGCCCAGCAAGAACAGTGTCTTCTGGAGCTTTAGAAAAACAGTTGCTAGGCACCTGAGGCAAGATGGAGGGTGATCTGCCCTTCGGTCTTCTCGTAGAGAGCCCAAGACTGAAATCAGTGCCTGATGGAGTTTTTGCTGCAATAGTCCTGCGCCCAGCTCCAATCGCTGAAGAAGCCTTTTTGTGCAGTATATGAGGATAGTGTTTGGGTCTGTGTTTGGGACTCGGATCTTTTTAATACCTCTGTGGTGAGCTAACCCTCAGTGTTTGCAGCACCAGACCATGGGAAGGAAATCTGCTCCCTGTGCAGACTGATGATCCTTGTAGAAGCTGAGTAACCTGCATAGTTCCCTGTTAGTTGGTGTATTGATAGACCAGCAGCTGATAAGAAATACTTTTTTCTGACCATTTGGTGGTGGGATTATACTCTTGTTATTTTTATGCATATGTATGTGTCTGAGTATACACACATGCATGTGTATATCAAAATATATTTATATGCACACACCCATGCGCGCGCTCTCTCTCTTTTTAGTGTATGTATTAGTGAGACAAGGTGGGTGAAGTAGTATCTTTTGCTGGACCAATTGCTTTGTATTCGTCATTAACTTGCATAAGCACTGCTGTCAGCCTGACCTCTCTTTTGTGTATGTGTGTTTAATAAA